GATATCGGAGTTGCTTAATCAGAAATTGACAGTAAAAGAGAAAGTTCCTAGGTATTTTAATAAGATTTTTTTTAAAATTATATATTCCACGTACAAAGTATGAGAATGCCATGTTTCAAAAAATGACCCACGTCAACGTCCTATTTCATAAAAAAACTTAACCCTGTTAAGTCAATTTAACAGCAGAGATCCAATTGACTCAAATTGGCATTTTTTCAAAACTAAATTAGAAATTTTAATAAAACGGGGATCAAACTTGGAAAAACCCGACAAATATAGGGTTTAACCTTTTTTATATTAAAGTTCTTTTTTATTATATTGAGTTCAAATACTTTTGCGACCTGATTTGTTGATTGAGACTTTAAACATTATTATTAAATAACTCTTTAATATATCAGTTTGAACCTGTAATAATATTATCATTCATCCTTACACTGTATAAGGAATAGTAACTTCTTTTCTTTTTCATGTATACACTCAGATAAACTCTATATCAAGAAGAAAAATTAAAAATCTTTGCATAAATAAAAAAAGGTTAAGTTAAATATTACACATTACATTAAAACGGTAAACCAGTCCGCTATTATTATTTGTCAGAGGTGAAGATTGAACTGAATTAGATAAACTTTATCATGTACAAAAAATTTCAGTTTATAAATTCTCTTTATGGTTGAGATGATTGAGTGCTTTCAGTTATTGGTATGTGTTTTTTTTTTAAGAATTGATATTAGTATGTAATTAAATATAAATGTAATTTTCTATTTTGTAATAAAAAAATAAGATTTTTTAGAGTGAAAACATCATATAGTAATTAATCTACGTGATTTTTGATGATAAATTCTAAAAAATGTTTATTTATTAATTATGATCAGTTTTTCCTATCATAATCTAACAAGTAACTGATATTTTTGTCATTAAAAAAGTTAGTTTTTATATTTATATGTAGAGAAATAAAAAGGTAAAATAACAAATATAAAATGTGTGTAAAAAAATGTCAAAATAATATATTCTTAGTTTTGGAATTATATTGATGAAGCATGAAACACATGTCGACTACTGTAACGCATGCAAATGCGAATATAAATAAGCAAAGGTTTCAATGATTTGGGGTCTGATTACAGAGGAAAGAGCATCGACAAAAAATAATGATTATCTCAGTGTAATTTGTGACTGAAACTACATTGCGAACACAGCATAACAGAGATGAGGACCCCTTCCTGGGACAACAGAGGACTTAAGAAAGGCACCTGGACTCCAGAGGAAGATAGAAAGCTAGTAGCTTATGTCACTCGATATGGCTCTTGGAATTGGCGCCAACTCCCAAGATTTGCTGGTAATTCAACATATTCATCATTCTTCTTATAACTGATACTTCTTCCATGAAATGAAAAGGTTGAATAAGTTCAGCGTTCTGCAATTTCATCGGTGCATTGATTTTCAGGTCTGGCAAGATGTGGAAAGAGCTGCAGACTTAGATGGCTCAATTATCTCAAGCCCAACATAAAAAGAGGAAACTACACTGACAAAGAAGAAGAAACTATAATCAAACTGCACGAAAAGCTCGGTAACAGGTACGTCCACTTTTTTAAAAAAAAAACTTCCTTGGAAAATTCCATTTTATTTACTTAATGTTTGTGTTTTCTTTTCTCCCTTGTAGATGGTCTGTTATTGCCACTCATTTACCCGGAAGAACAGATAACGAAATAAAGAACCACTGGCACACCACTCTCAAAAAGCGTTTGGGAAAGAAGGCAGTTTACACTGAAACAAATGTGAAAGCCTCAAAATCAAACAGTTTTGGGTCCAACCCGGACAAGGATTGCATTCAGAACAATGGTTTCTTCCTCGAAGCTTCTCACTCTCCGACAGTTTCTAAAGCCTCTGATCCTGACCCTTTGTCCCCGGAATTATCCTCAAGCGAATTCTCGTCCTCGGATTATACCACTCGCCAAAATTTGTTTCTTGAAGATGGGTTCGATTTTCTAGATGCATACTTAGCGGACATGAACCAGAATATTTCGACAGAATCATTTCACATTTCTCAAGTCACATCACAAGCCAATGGTATCGACAATTTTCATGGTTCAGACGCACCGAAAACCATGGAATGTGTTCGGCCAGAGTCTCCTCTTTCTTACTATAATGAAAATTCCCTTGTGGAAAATGACGACTTTGGCTTTCTAGAAGCAATAGAACCAATAACTGAACATTCTTGGACGGAAGCATTCGTGGCAGATATGTCTCTTATTCCGAACGAATTACTTGTTCCTTTGGTGAACGAATCCGAATCGTACTTTTCTTCTGCGTATGACGTGGATGATATCTGGTGTGTCTGAAAAATAATTCTCATGATTTAGACGTCAACTTATTTCAATGAATAAATAATTAGCTTCTATTTTTGAAATAAATGTAACTAATTCAGTGTAAGACAACTCTTTTTTTCGCTGCNATATATATATATATATATATATATATTTAAAAAATTACATGTTTAAAATATTTCTTTTTGGAGATCCACCACTTAATAAAAGTACACCATGTTCTCTACAAACAAAGTTAACTTTTTTGTTCTTTTATAGGTTAAACCCCTTTAGTTGTCTCTATTTTTGTGGATTTTTTCTAGTTTGATCCTCGTTTTATTAAAATTGTCAATTTAGTCCTAAAAAATGCTAATTTGAGTCAATGAGTCACTGCCGTTAAATTGGCTTAACGGAGTTAAGTTTTTTATGAGAAAGGACGTTGACGTGGCCAGTTTTTGTCACATCACTCCTGCCACGTCAGCATCATCTTCCATAATAAGGGAAACCCTAATTCCCTCAAGAGTGAAACCCTAGTCACCGCGAGCAAACCCTAGTGTCACCACCGTAAAGCCGTTGTGAAGCCTTCAGTCTCGCCGTCGCCAGCTTGCTGCGAAGCCTTCAGCCATCGAATGTCGACATCCCGTAACATCCAAAATCAAACCCCAAATCTGCAAGAGAACCAGATCGGAACAGAAACCACATCGCGGCCAAGTGCGAGCACCATCACGCCAACCAGAAGCAAGAGAAGACCATATCTGAACCGGAAAACCTAAACCTCTTCTCCCTCTTTCGCAAGTCACCATTAGTGGTAGAAACCACCACCAAACCCACTGTCAGTCACACATTCAACCTACAGGAAACCAAAAAACAACAAAACGAAGGCCACCACTGGTCGTGCCTCTGTCGTCGCGAGAATGAGGACTATTGTGACGTAGCGCCGTCGTAACTCAACTTCTACATATCTAAACCTACGAATAAGGACCAACACGACCCTCCATCGTCTCATCAACGTTGTTGCGCGAATAAGTGCAAGCCGCCATGAAACCCCAAGACATCGTGACGAAAGCCGTGAAGAACCCCGGTTACCCTCTTCTTGCCTTTAGCAGGCGACAAACCAGCAACCTAATGTTGTTGCGAACACCACTGCCTGAAACCGGGATGTCGGCATTCGCAGCCTTAAATCTCCTCGTCGCCACGAGAGGAAGAGAACTTATTGTCCACGAGAGAGGAACTCAAAGATTTGGGAGAAAATAAAATCTGAGTTGCATGAATAGTCTATCAGGAAACTAATCTAGGGTTCACTTCTGATCCCATTCCTAATCCAACAACCCTAAATTCAGCGAACCCAAAGGCACACTCCACTTATTCCAAACCTCTCCCAGAGTGTTGAGATGGTGGCATTGGTGTGTCTGGGGAAATGGTTCGATATGGCCAATGATTTTCGGTTGAGGTTTGCAAAGGAGATTCGTGGAGAGAGGTTAGTGGTGCTTGATGAACATAACAAAAGGGATATCTTGATTCCTGGAACTGGAGGAGTTACCATTAAAGCGGTTTCTGAGTTACAGATATCGGAGTTGCTTAATCAGAAATTGACAGTAAAAGAGAAAGTTCCTAGGTATTTTAATAAGATTTTTTTTAAAATTATATATTCCACGTACAAAGTATGAGAATGCCATGTTTCAAAAAATGACCCACGTCAACGTCCTATTTCATAAAAAAACTTAACCCTGTTAAGTCAATTTAACAGCAGAGATCCAATTGACTCAAATTGGCATTTTTTCAAAACTAAATTAGAAATTTTAATAAAACGGGGATCAAACTTGGAAAAACCCGACAAATATAGGGTTTAACCTTTTTTATATTAAAGTTCTTTTTTATTATATTGAGTTCAAATACTTTTGCGACCTGATTTGTTGATTGAGACTTTAAACATTATTATTAAATAACTTTTTAATATATCAGTTTGAACCTGTAATAATATTATCATTCATCCTTACACTGTATAAGGAATAGTAACTTCTTTTCTTTTTCATGTATACACTCAGATAAACTCTATATCAAGAAGAAAAATTAAAAATCTTTACATAAATAAAAAAAAGGTTAAGTTAAATATTACACATTACATTAAAACGGTAAACCAGTCCGCTATTATTATTTGTCAGAGGTGAAGATTGAACTGAATTAGATAAACTTTATCATGTACAAAAAATTTCAGTTTATAAATTCTCTTTATGGTTGAGATGATTGAGTGCTTTCAGTTATTGGTATGTGTTTTTTTTTTTTAAGAATTGATATTAGTATGTAATTAAATATAAATGTAATTTTCTATTTTGTAATAAAAAAATAAGATTTTTTAGAGTGAAAACATCATATAGTAATTAATCTACGTGATTTTTGATGATAAATTCTACTTATTACTCCACTAAAAAAATGTTTATTTATTAATTATGATCAGTTTTTCCTATCATAATCTAACAAGTAACTGATATTTTTGTCATTAAAAAAGTTAGTTTTTATATTTATATGTAGAGAAATAAAAAGGTAAAATAACAAATATAAAATGTGTGTAAAAAAATGTCAAAATAATATATTCTTAGTTTTGGAATTATATTGATGAAGCATGAAACACATGTCTACTACTGTAACGCATGCAAATGCGAATATAAATAAGCAAAGGTTTCAATGATTTGGGGTCTGATTACAGAGGAAAGAGCATCGACAAAAAATAATGATTATCTCAGTGTAATTTGTGACTGAAACTACATTGCGAACACAGCATAACAGAGATGAGGACCCCTTCCTGGGACAACAGAGGACTTAAGAAAGGCACCTGGACTCCAGAGGAAGATAGAAAGCTAGTAGCTTATGTCACTCGATATGGCTCTTGGAATTGGCGCCAACTCCCAAGATTTGCTGGTAATTCAACATATTCATCATTCTTCTTATAACTGATACTTCTTCCATGAAATGAAAAGGTTGAATAAGTTCAGCGTTCTGCAATTTCATCGGTGCATTGATTTTCAGGTCTGGCAAGATGTGGAAAGAGCTGCAGACTTAGATGGCTCAATTATCTCAAGCCCAACATAAAAAGAGGAAACTACACTGACAAAGAAGAAGAAACTATAATCAAACTGCACGAAAAGCTCGGTAACAGGTACGTCCACTTTTTTAAAAAAAAAACTTCCTTGGAAAATTCCATTTTATTTACTTAATGTTTGTGTTTTCTTTTCTCCCTTGTAGATGGTCTGTTATTGCCACTCATTTACCCGGAAGAACAGATAACGAAATAAAGAACCACTGGCACACCACTCTCAAAAAGCGTTTGGGAAAGAAGGCAGTTTACACTGAAACAAATGTGAAAGCCTCAAAATCAAACAGTTTTGGGTCCAACCCGGACAAGGATTGCATTCAGAACAATGGTTTCTTCCTCGAAGCTTCTCACTCTCCGACAGTTTCTAAAGCCTCTGATCCTGACCCTTTGTCCCCGGAATTATCCTCAAGCGAATTCTCGTCCTCGGATTATACCACTCGCCAAAATTTGTTTCTTGAAGATGGGTTCGATTTTCTAGATGCATACTTAGCGGACATGAATCAGAATATTTCGACAGAATCATTTCACATTTCTCAATTCACATCACAAGCCAATGGTATCGACAATTTTCATGGTTCAGACGCACCTAAAACCATGGAATGTGTTCGGCCAGAGTCTCCTCTTTCTTACTATAATGAAAATTCCCTTGTGGAAAATGACGACTTTGGCTTTCTAGAAGCAATAGAACCAATAACTGAACATTCTTGGACGGAAGCATTCGTGGCAGATATGTCTCTTATTCCGAACGAATTACTTGTTCCTTTGGTGAACGAATCCGAATCGTACTTTTCTTCTGCGTATGACGTGGATGATATCTGGTGTGTCTGAAAAATAATTCTCATGATTTAGACGTCAACTTATTTCAATGAATAAATAATTAGCTTCTATTTTTGAAATAAATGTAACTAATTCAGTGTAAGACAACTCTTTTTTTCGCTGCATACAACCCAGAAAAATATCTGTTGTGCAAAATTGTTGATCCCATTACGACTTTATATATTTTTCTTCCTTTTCACGACAAATAAATAACCGAATTATTTTGGTCATTTCCAAATATTTGAATTAGGTCCTTCAAATAATTAGGGTTGTAATATTTTCGCAAAATTACTTATAAATTTCATGACACGAAGTTAATCACCTTAATGTATTGTCACGGGTTTTTCCTACCCAGGATGATATCTTCATGCTAAAGGATTGTCTAATACGAATCTTAAAGATAATGTAAATTTATCGCAATAAATATCTTATCGTTTTGTGACATCAGAACACAACAATGTTGTTGTTCCAGGTCATCCAAACTTATGTTGGTGCAGTATAACACACTCGTCAAATGAGCGGTATAGATATCCGATGAGATAAGAGATATAAATATATATCTATATATATAGAGATATATATAGAGATTATATATTATATATATATATATATTATATATATAAAGGGAGATACAATTCTATATACGAATGAGAGCACTAAAGTTTGGGATTTTGGTTTACAAACCTTATAAATATATAGATGTTCTCATTGAAAAAAATCAATTGAATATATGATCTCAGATTTGTAACATAACAGCCTAGAGTTCTGTAATATTTTCTACTCTCATATTAAATGCGATAATAGTTATCATTGTGAGAAAACGTGAACAAGAATAAACACTCTAAGTTTTTTGAATTATATGTATATATACAAAGTTATAATATCAACAAATCCTTTCATAATTTATCATTAATACTATAATTTTTTTTTCTACTCAATTTTGTCTCCTACCCTACTTTTTCCACTTCTACTTTGAGCAAACCCAAAAAGAAAGTGCAAGAGTATGTTATTTGGAATGGGCTTTGCTTCTATGGATATATCTAACACAGAATGGGCGGATGAAGGTCTAGGATTCTCTTCATGCAAACCTATATAAAAAATTCTTTAAATCTCAATTCTACCCCTTAACTAAATAATATTAAAAAATCCTAACCATTCTGTTTCTTCGCATGAGCAAATCACGGAAGCAGTACCCTATAATGTGAATAAAAATGCTAAGTTCAAAGTATATATTGATAATATAATATATATCTATATATTATATATATATATATTAATATATACTCACAACATGTTGTTAAGGAGTATCTAAATAATTTCATTTTTATCTTAATGTATGGAAAAACGCTTCTTGCAATTTTAAAAGGAATTACTATATACGTACAAGGTTAGTATAGGAACTTGCAAAACGAAATCTGGTAGTTTGAGTTAACGTACTTCAACTTCTTGAAGGAAAGTTTATTACCAATTCCTTTGTGAGACTAAAGGTTGGTTGTTTTTCAATCTATTGGTAGCACAAGACGTTCTCATTTTTCGTATGCTTACATGGGGATTATGCTACTAAATATATATTTTTCATTCATCTCTTTATATATTATTAAAGCAATGTAAAATATTATTTTCAAACACTTGTATTTATTATGTGACAAACGAGGTTTCAGAGTAAACCATAATATAATATTCATATCGTGTTTTTTTTCACATTACTTTCATATAATACAGAAAGAAAATAAGTATACAATCTCTAAAAGTAGATGAAAGACAAAAAAAAATAAAATCTTAATCTTCATTTTTTTTTACCTAAAACGAAGACAACGTACGTATTATGAGCTGAAAGATTGACCTGCTAATTGATGTTGATTTCAGTTTGGCACCCTACTACAGCTATGGTTTGAATAAAACTGATCCGAGTTTAATTTAAGAGTAAATACATTCCCACATACTGTTGTAAAATAGTTTTAAACTTGGGAACAACATATTGACATACAGGGATAAAGAACAGTAAAAGTTTGGATTTATCAGTTTTTAAATCTAAGCAAATGCTCCATGCACGGAAGCAGATATGAGGTGAAGGTACCATGACAAGTGTGTTGGATATTGTATTCACTAAGGTGAAGGTCACCACAGCAAATGAGACAAAGATCTAGACCACATCGTATTATGGAGTTTGGAGGCTTATCATTGTAAGTTTGTAACCACTTTAACCATAACCATGACAAGTGCCAAACTCTCTTTCTTTTGTCTCAGAATTCACGTGACTTTTACCAGACTGGGGGTTCATCCTAACAAAAATAATGATATGTTCATGGTGACGCACCAATCGACACAACTCGTACCATTCTCATCTTGCAGATTCTCACATTGAATTCTAATTACCGAGTTCCTACCCTCTATAAATTTCTGGTCACAGAAGTAAATTCGTAATAAACTGATTCAATTCGTAGTTAAGAATGCTCTCTATTGAAATACCTTCAACAGGGTAATACTTACATTCTTGAGGTTAGCGTTTTGTATGTACGAACAAGAATTTGATAGTTAATATGATGAAAATCGTTTTTGTATATATGGTGATCTTATTCCATATTTCTATCTGTTTGATAAGAGTTATGGTAGAAGAGTGAATACGGAAGAGTAGAGTTATGGTTGACAATATCAATGCAACTGAACTTTCTATTGATGCAGTTTATGTTTTTCACTGTGTCACTGTCTCACTGACCCATCCATCTCTTGGTTCATAAGGATAGGGCCTACGTGTGAATCATTCCCAAATTTATACTCACCGCCGTTCCTAAACTAGTCTGGGTTGTTTTAAAATCGAATAATACCTAAATTTGGATATGCAGAAGGATGTTTAAAAATTGCAAAAAAAGTGAAAACTTAAATGTAAAAAAATGAGATATTTTTTAACAAAAACCCCAGATGATGAAATGAGGTGATTTTTGAAGAATGTGTACACTATAATGCATTATAGTTTTTCACATGTTTCTTATTTAAGTGTCCATACATATATTATCTTTTTATTATGTTTTTATATTATGATAAAGCAAATAATTCAAATAATTTAGTATTTTATCAATTCACACTTTTTGTATTATAGAAAATAATGATTAAAATGAAAAATTTAAAATAATAAATAAAATAAAACAAGTTAATTTAATATTTTATTAATACATACTGGAGTAAAATAAATAACTAATATAAAATATTAAAATAATAAATAAAATTAATTTAAGTTTCATTTAAAAATTAAATTTAATTATATTCATATTTGGAAATATCAATTTTTATTTATTAAATACGATAATATTTTTATTTGAATTTAAAAAGATATATTATCTCTAATATAATTTTAAAATTGTTTTTAAAAAAAACAATCTTAAATATCAACAACAGTTATTTATTACCATCAACGTCTAAATTATAAACTGTCCACCTCCCTTCTTTTTTCATAACCCAAAGTCAATCACGCAACATCAACTCTTTGATATTCCTTTTCTTTTCTTTTTTACTGTTTTTCATTTTTTTTTTACTTTCCTTTAATCAAACCAAACAGTACCAAAGCAGTGGCGACAATATTGCTATACAGTACTCGTTGTCTTCAATCGTATTTTTGTCCAATCTTACTGCAAGGGAGTGCACGAACAAAGGACGCAGGTGCAATTGGTTTTCAAGCTTGTCTCTTTAGGTAGAATGGTGAATCAGTTTAAGTTATAAACGCAAAACGGTGCGCCCTATTTTGTTGACTTTTTCAGACGCGTAATTAGAGTCTGTCTTTCGACATTCACCCTAATATAAACCTTTATTCTGTTACTTGTACCGTTCAGATAGATGTAGAGCACAAAATTTCAATTTTTCGCTCCCCCACTCACAAGATCAACATGAGAAATATAAATTTCGTAGGATACACTATTTTAAAAGCAGATCTACAATGGTGTAATTTAGTAATTTCATCGAAAAATCTTGTTACGTTGGGGCATATTATATATAAAAAAAGTTTCTCTCAATCCCTACCCACGATATGATTGATGACTTTATGAGAGTAAAAATTCAGAAAAACGTTTATATATATAGATAGAAGGAAGTTTTACACAGAAGGTAACTTCGGCGTTTAACACATGTTGGGAAACCGAAGCTACCGAAGAAACAATTAGTCCGAATCTTAGAAAAACATTCAACGCCCAGCTTTAATGTCTGGATCTTAGTCTTGCGAATCTTACATGGTTTTTCACGAAAAGAACATGACACCGTGACAATATTTCATTCTTTAGAAACAAGTTTAGAATGGTAACAAAGGTAATATCTGTGTTGATAAAAATCAAAAGAAATGGTAAAAAGGGATTGATGAAATTATACTTTACAGAACCCATTACATGCTTTTATGTCAAGTCAAACAAGAATTTCACACAAAACGACGCGTCGTGTTAGGAAACGGACAGCGATTAAAAGTAAAAAATAAAAAATAAAAACAAAACCACTGCATAGAATCATCAATCTCGAATTTCTATGACAGGGCACATCCCTACCTCGTACCAGGTAAGAATTTGTTATTCAATGGTAAGAGTCTTGGAGTAGTTTAGTTTAGCTTATCACTTGGATGGAAAATGATCATTATAAGTGCCCTCTGCGATTGAAGACACCAATGGTCGCCATTATAATAAACACGAAAAACGTTAGCTCGAACAAGAGGAGAGAACCCAACAAAACAGAGAACAAAACTTTATAAAAGAGCAAAGATTATTATTGTTTTTAAAAGAAAACAACCCACTGTGGTCCCTATTTCCTCTGTGATGTTGCAATCAATTCTCAGTACAATAACAGAGATCTCAAAAATGGGTCCGAACAAATATCTTTGATAAAGAAGTCTGAGTCATTGGGACCTTTCAACAATTCATATATATATTAAAACACCACTCTTCACTAAATTCCCTCAAACCAAACACTCACGAGTTCTCATACCCACTGATTACTAAAATAACATGTTTATCATGGTCCCAAAGTTTTTCACATAATAATATACTAATTAGCTAAAAAATTATTAAAATTTGGTTACATGTTACCTTAAAATTAGTTTAAACTTGTACTCTTTTAGCTTTTTGTTGACAGGTTATATAACATTTATTTTTTACCCTCTTGTTCTTGGTGCTCAAAGTTCTTAATTCTAAATGTGTAAACCTCAGAATTAGACTCACTTCAATTCATAATATTATGAAATTGAATTAGACTCACTCCATTTCATAATATTAAGAGTCAATTATTAGTCATTTCCAACTGAGAAGATTGTAGTAATATGTCTAAAAATACAAGTTTATGTATTTTACCATTGTTTATTTGTAATGTCATTTTCTGTAACTAGTGTTTTTTACCCTCAGTTGAGTTTGAAGTAACTACAGGAGAGTAGAGACTCTTCTCAGATGCCCAATTATTGGCATAACGATATTTTACCTTAACATATGTATATAGGAATCACAGAGACGAAATAGTATAACGGGATTTCGTTATTCTTGGTTTGCGCTGACCTCAACTCTCGCGTAAGAAGGAAGAAACATTAACAACATACATGCTGTTCAAAGGTAATACATTAACAAAAGTTCTGTGTTTTATTTTCCAAGAAAATTGGTTGCTTAAGCAGCCACAAAGTAAAACAAAAAACAAAAAACAAAACTTCAACCCTACAATTCAAAGTGACGTTTTGTCGTTTTGTTTTTTTCTCTTAGAAATAAAAAAAAAAAATCTCATCTTATCATCGATGCTCCTTTACACAACCAACGGATTTAATGAAGGCCGTACCAGGATCATGTTACAGTGATTTTGTCCACTAACTACGGATAATCGAATTCTTCTCTTCTCATTCTGAGTCCATCAATGTCCCTTGTTGTTATTGTGTTCTTCATTGGTTTTCTTCATATTTTTTTGTTAATTCACGACAGTGTGATATTTCCAAGACATTAATCGGTAGTGGATGAAGCAGAGGATTAAATGCGGTCTTCTTCCGGTACTTCAGCATTGATGAAAATGAGAAAACGGGACAGTGGGTTTGTTGCCATAATCGGCAATTTTCCTTCTTTTGAACTCCTGCTCTTGTATCACGCCGTTGGTTTTTTCACTTTCCAAGCTTAGAAAATGTTCGTCTAACACATTAACCGGGGTGTCTGAAGTTGAATTTATATTCAACACAGATTCGTACTCCTCATTGGCTATGTCCTGTATCACATTATAACATTGCACCACAGTTTCCTGCAGTAAAATCATCGTACTCTCTGTTATCCACGTAATAGTATCAATAATGGTATGAAAAATTAGGTTGTTTTCACCACTCATTTTATTACATATATGTTGGATAAAAGAAAAATTAAAAGAACGAAAGAATGTGTACTTTGTTAACATATGAACAGTCGGATATTGCTCCTAAGAAGCATGGATATTGAAAGGGAAACAACTCATGTGAAGCATACAGAAGGGCTGACGCAGCAACTACAGATGGCTTGAATTCCAAGACCTTTATCTCTGAAAAGTAAAGTAAAATAACAAACATTATTTAGATCTAATCCTAGATTAGCAATCAAATTAACTCACGTTACTTACAATGTTCAAGTCAATTAAGCATTCACTATAGTTATATATACCTCTTTGTGACTTCAGTATGATTTCAGATGCTCGATCCTTCAGAACCTGTCTAAATGCCGGGTCTTTGAGCCTGAACAAATTCACGAAGAAGGGAATGAAAGAGAAGGGGGTGATCGAACGCATTCGCCACTGGAGAGCCCCCAAGACAATTCCCTCCATTCTTTGAACTGTTTGTGTCTCAAAAATGACACCTCCATCACCATGATTCAGAAGAACCTGTTCAAAAGAAATACTAGATCAATGAATATCAACCTTTGGCTTTAAATTTCAATTCAAGAAAGAGATTCAAAACCTTAGAATGCTCAAACAGTTTACCTGGACATCAGTGGCCGAGTACTCTGCTTTCAACATCTTGGCCGCTAAAGAAAAGCAAGCTATTGCAAGAAGCTTGTTTGCCCATGGCTTTGGTTGCTGTTGCACAGACCCATTTTTCGTTAGATCTTAACAGGGCATACTCTTTCTTTATTGGTACAAAACTAAAGTTTTAAATTGCCTTTGCTTCGCAATTTCCTTACAATCCTTGAAATTGCAAGAAATAATGCAAAAATGTAATCAAAATTGTAAGCAAATGTGACCATCACAATTTCCCTGGTATTTCCAAAAAGCTTGGTATTTCAGTCGAAACTGCAGCTACATATACCCTTTGAAACTAAGCATTAAACAAAGTGGAGTAAATTATGAACAAGCTGTGTGGTTACCAATATTCCTTGGTTAGCGAGGAAGCGATCTAAGTAGTTGATAGCAAGGTAAGGAAGAACTGGATCGAAAGTGCAGGAGAGCTGAAGAGAAAAGAAACAAGCAAGAAGCCACGTTGAGAAACAAAACAGGAAAATTGGATAT